GTAAAGGGCCCGAAACGTCGGTTTGTTTGAAAAAACAAATATACGCGATTTAAATCCGGAAAAATAGTTTCATTTCCTATGTGTAACAATCGCGAAAACCTAAGAACTCGAAATTGTAATTTTATTTTTAATTCACTTCGTTGTATTTCGACAATATTTGATGTTTATTCATATTTTTAGATAAACTACTTCATTTTATATTCAATGCTATTGTTTATATTGGTTTATATTCGACGAACACATTATCCCTCGACATTATATTTAACAGACTTCAAAAAAGGTTTTCAATTTGACAGAATTTTCAAAGGTAAGTTACGCGATTACTCCGCTATTTGTGAACAGATTTCAATGATTCTTTTTTGTTGGAAAGCGTTCTACCTCGGTAGTGGTCCCATTGAAATATTTAGAAAATCCACTCTATGAGTGGTCAATTATGGGATGGATCCGGATTATTGGATTCCACCGATTTTTCGTCAACCGATTTCAATAAAACTTGGCAAATAAATTCCACAAGCTCTTGAGGTTGGTTCTTTTATTATAAAAAAATAATATTGTGACATTGATAATATGACATAAATGATTACATTCTACTTGCATTGCGATCTGATATTGAATACAATCTGGTTCTTTATCGTAATATGTATGTGTGGTTCAGTTTGCGATAATTCAATGAGGAAATTACTTACCTTAATATATTAATTTCAGTATTCACTTTCTGTTTAACATGTCCTACAGTGACACCAACTAGTTTCTTCACCTGCACAGGCACCTGTCCCCATGAGCCATGGTCCCATTTGTGGTGGTCACTAGATTTGGTGATATCCATGTTGATCGCGCTCGCCACTGGCAGACCGTATGCACTGGTGTCACTCTGCAAAAGGAACTCATCAGGGTTAACAGTGGCTTTACTTAACTTTTGAATCCTAAAATGGTCATAGTACTGAATTTTGACATTCCGCAACATAGCATAGGTCAAAGCGACTCCATGAGGCAGTGATCTCCTTCTATGAAGCGGTGATACTCTAGAAGAAGATCGGAAGAGGGGCGATCCCGCTCGGCGGCGGCGTAACCTTCGCGGCTGCGGGCGATCTGAGCGGGGGCTCCGTTCGCCAGTAAGTTTTGCAGCCGCGAGGAGGACGACGGGGCAGCGTAGCTCGCCTTGTCGTGGGAGGATGGGGAGGACGTAGCTCCTCCCAGGCGCTGGGGGTTCCGGTGGGCAAAGTCGATCCCGGTTCTTTCGCACTAGAGCACCCGAAAAGGGCACCGTGGAGTTTTAGCCGCTAGAAATCCGGTGATAACCTCTCCGCTGCCCTTGCGGCTTTTCGCGCGGGATTTCCCCACGAGAAAAAAAAGGTCAAAGCGACTTGTCACATTTACTTCGAAAATTAACAGACCCATCTCAACATAAAGGCATCCTTAGTACCTACTACAAAATTCTACAGCTGGTGTTTTCCAGTTTTCATCAGATGGACTGCTTAACTGTTTACTGGTTCCCTCTTTCTATCAGGTGAAACGCCGGTATGAATAAAATAAAAAAGAAACAAGCCTTTTTTGTATTTTTTTATAATTGCACTCTCTTTAAGTCGCACATTCGGACGGGTCGCGTACGACGCACTGCAGTGTGTTGACATTACAACGAGCCGAGGCGGGCCCGGCCGCATCCGAGGCTCTGACGAGGTTGTCCGAGCCTCGGAAGGTCGGAAGCAGCTCGGACGTCGTGAATCACTTCACATAAAATGTACGCAGTATTTCCAATCCGAGTCTGGTACGAGGCTCGGCTCGCGCCCGGCACGGTCTAATTTGAATAATCCTTTAACCTTCAAAACCGGAACACAGTAATACTTATCTGGACGAACTATTTCACAAAGAAGTTTACTGCTAGTTTCGATATGCAATGCCAGAATTGTTTTCGGGTACACCAGGATATGTTCTGTTTTTATTTTGTTTTTGTTTCTTTTTTCACTATATTCACTTTTTGATTTTTTTTCGAATTTTGTTTTTTCTTTCTTCTTTTTCCACAAAATTCGGGGAGCGTAATATTAGTAAATAAATATGGCTTTTTACGAAAATAACCGAAAATGCCCAAAAAATAAAGTTGGCGTAGTTTTCACTGGAGGTATCGAAATTACCTTTTTCATATAATATACACGGAAATCACAATACCGCTAGCATCCAAATTACTTTTGTGCGCATCAATAAATAACGTCTGCCGTCCACTAACTAAAACGCAGCTAAGTGACAAATGGTCAAATATCCGTTTTAGTTAGAAAAAAAAGCACAAAATTATCGTTAAAGAACAGTTAAAATTAGTTAACGGGTTCGACTTATCGAAACGTACCCTAACGATGCATAGCTGAAATATCATTAAACAATTTCAATATTCTAAAACTGGGTTATGGTTTTTTAAGATTATTGCAGAATTGCAGATAATACGAGATGTACAATAAATAATGCATTAACAAGTGCGACCGATATTGTTAATTATAGGTTATTATTAAATAACTATCGCATTCACTACTTGCGAAGTTATTCACTCAGTTATTTACAACCTGCACTTTCAATCGCTCACGAATGCTAAGCATCGTCAATAAAAGCAATGTTGAATTGCATGGTTGAGCATAAAATGCGCGGGTAATTGTTTCATGTTACAAAAATACTGTTAATCTACCAAGTTGTAAAGGTGAACATACTTTACTATCGTCGGACTTGCTGCCACTTTGAGTCTGTAACTGTTCGTCGGCCCATAGGTCAAAACTCTTCAACTCGTTCATCACCTCCCAAACTGAACTGTCCATTTTCGCATCGCATGAACCTTGGCTAGACGCTTTTTCCATTAAGGTTACTCCGTCAATTTCCTCTTTAATATTAATTCCCTCTCTGAAAGTCTTCATATCTATAGGCAGAGAATTATTTTTGTAGAGCAGAGACTTTGTGTTTTCCTCTGTTACGTCTGATTGTTTAAAAAAGTCAGTAACAAACGGCGACGTTCTTCGAGTTTTTCGTGGTTCGGTATAATTTGATGTGGGTAACAGATTACCGGGCATAAAGACTTGATTTTGAAATAGAAATTGTATGCTGGGCAGCCCCTCCGTGTCGACGGCGGCACTTCGTGTTCTTCTGTGGGATCTTTTCTTATACTTGGTGGCTGATTTCTTTTCATAATTGAAAGTGTTGTCCATATCTGTGGAGCAGGCGGTGCAGGAGACAGGTAATGAGTGCCTACCGCATTTCTTCTTGACGGGAGTCTCTGGTGGATCTTTATTTCCATGGGAACGCCTTGCTTGGAATTCGGCGAGATCGCGTTTGTACTCTTCGGTGCGGATGGTGCCGATGTGGGCTGCGCTCTGTGATCCCTGTGCTTTTACAATTATCTTCGGTGCTGACGTGGTCGTGGGCGTCGTGATGACTTCCTCGGTCACCGTCAGACGCTCTCTGAAAAAAAAAAAAACTTATGAATATGATGAGGTGTAACAGGTCATACTACCCAGTTATAAGATGCATTTCACACAAGTCTATTACATATATATATATATATATATATATATTAGACATTATATATTATATATATATATGTTAATAATTCTTTTTATACTACAAATGTGTTTTTTTTAATATCAAGTGACGGGACGAACAAGTCGTGCGCTTGATGGCAAGCTGAGTAATGCTGACGTTACTGCTTGGCGGCAGAAATAGATCAGAGGCAGAAGTAGCAGTACTTCCCTGGGCAAACTCTTTCACAGTAGCTCTACTGCTACTATTTTGTTTTCAGGTGTAATTTTTGAAAAAGGTAATAATAATTCATTTATTTCGAGTAACTTCGACTCATATAATTGGTTAGTAAACCACTTAGAACACTAAAAAGCTCGGTGTCCTATTAACAGTAATAATAACGTTGTAATTTGATTATTTTGAACACAAAATAATCAAATTACAACGTTCAGATAGTGACGATATGTCAATTTCGCGCGGCAGACATGTCTCAGGCTCGTTAAACCATCTTCCTGACGAATTAGATGCTTTTGGAATGGGCCACTATTCTAGAACGCCATCGTATATAACATTACTATGTTGTACTATGCCAAGTTTTTAGTTATTGAGTGGACTTCCAAGGGCATTTTGCGATATGGAACCCAAAAAACAGTCAGAGCAATTACTAAACTATAAAACGCCGTCCATAGTAACAAGATATTGAAAGATTAGGCATGGTTATTGCGGCCTATACAGAATGAGCTCGTTATTTGATTCTGCGTAAAGTTAATAACCGTTTTATTGGTGAGAAAAAACGGATATACATAGAGTATGACTAACTCCTATGGTTGGTTGGTCGCATTCACTGCGCTAGCGTGGGATTGGTGACAGCCACTGGAGTTCGAAACTCAAAGCTGTACTTTGTGTATATTAATTAAAAATTCCATCAGACAAGAGAAAAACTTTAATGCACAAAGAAGCAAAAACTCAATTAAATTGTACTATAACAAAATTTACTGGATTATTATGATTACTGTTTCGGTTATCTAAAGAATCTCGACTCCCCTTGACCTAAACGATAAATTTCCAATATTTAAATGGGAGAGCACAAGTCAACCGGGGACTCAGGTTCAAGAACTGGGGAACGATACAATCCAGGGGCTTGGGCCGTCTGTTGTAATCACCACCAATTACAACGAGAAACTAAGACCAACCGAATTAAAGATCTTAGTTTAGGTTGTTTTAAAGTTTTAACCACCTCTTACAGGACTTTTTGTTAATAAGGATACCAGTGACGAAAAAGTCGTGCCCTGATGATAAACGGCACACTGTCCATAGCAGTTGCAGTGTCACTCAGAGCTTTAAATCGCAAAGATGTAAGAGCCCCGTCACACTAAAATATAAGTTGACGAGTCTCACGAAAATGTTTTTTCCAAGGAGTGAGTATCGTATGTCCAAATGCACAGTAACTTGTATTATAACATTATAATTTATTTATATGTATCATAATAAGAGCCGTCACAATTGTAAGAAATCATCTTTAGTCTGTACGAACTCAACAAGAGTGCATCGCAAAGACAAACTAATCCTCGCAGAACCGATTCAAGAAACCTATGTAAACATATCAAAATGAATATATCGCACTGCTATTACAATAATGTTATAACTCAAAATATATGAAATTCAAGATTATACCATTGTTGAACGTAAAATTTGATTCTCTACACGTCAATAAAACCATCATTAGAATATTGTAAAAAATAACTAAAATATATCTAGTTAACTAATTAACTCAAAATGAGACACGCTTTATGTGAGCTAGTTTCAGACCAAAATAGTCCTTATTCAAAAACAAGAAGTTATTTTTTTCTCCTTTATTTTTAAATATATGTATATTTTTTGCAAGTAGGAAATAACGTATACATAAATTTACACAGATCTTTCACGGGAAGCGAGTAATTCGTTTTTCGTCGATTCTGAGAAAATACGCTTTTTGAGTTAATACACTATGGTATTAACGGTGCGATATACATTGTAAAAATACCGAACTCAAAAGTTTACTTATTCGCTTTAGCCGTGTTAGTTAAATCTATTTGCCAAGTTTTATTGAAATCGGTTAACGGAAAGTTGGTGAAATCCAATAAACCCGATTCATTCCCTAATTTGCCACCCTCAGATGGAATATTTTCTTCAAAATTTGAAACTATTGAAATTAGCCCTTTTATAAAAAATACAGCCGAATTGAAAACTTCCTCCTTTTCTAAAGTCGGTTAAAAATATCTATAATACAAAAAATATAACAAAAACAATTAATTCTCTATGCAACTAAACACATAACTGCCTCCGTGGCCGAACGGTTACCATGCCGGACTGTAACGCACTAGTACCAGGTTCGATTCCCGGAACAGGAGAAATATTTTTATGGTCTACATTTATTATTCTCGTGAGTTTGAGTGTCATTTGTGGTTGTCTATGTGTGTGTCCATGGCACCCGCGACACAGGGTTTCCCTAGTGCGGGGCTATGTTGAGTATATGCGTTACTATTATTATTTTTTATAAAAAAAAAGGCATATCATTCAATCTCAGAATTTATGCAGAATAGTGATGCTCTAGCAAATGATTTCGATATATTTATCACCAATGTTTATATTTAGTACCTAGTTCATACAAATAAAAATATCATTTTTATGTCGGAAATTACTATTACAAGTTCTTGTAATGCGAAGTACAATTCACTATACTGCCCTCCTTATCATAACGGACGTAATCGTCATTTTTAGCGAAATTGAAATAAGATCTACAACTCCCTTATAAGCGGTTTTCCAATATCTAATTTAGTTTCTGTTTTATTGTTAAGCGTAAATTGTCATTTTTCAAAGAAAAAAAAAAACAATTTTGGTGCCAATATCGCGAGCACAGAACAATAAATACGGTGGAAGTGGATAGTTAGCGTCAGACGCTTGCCAAGTATAGGTCTCCAAAGACCTATTCGAGCTCAGTCCGCCATTTTCGCTTTGTATGGACTTCACAACCATTTGTGTCATTCTTTCGAGCAAATTCTCTAAAATCGTAGAAAAATGCCTTATTGGAATGCAAAAATGATAGCAGCACCAAAAATATTCCCCCTATTAATATTTCAATCATGGGTAAGTCATCATTTATATATTTTTTCAATTTTCGGATCATCTATTCATTCAGATGTTAATCGTTCGTCGTAGTCCAGCTACTGGCCGCAAGATTTTGAATAAAATTTCAATATAAAATCAAAACGTCGTAACTTGCAATAAAGGTATTGAACTTTCAGCGATATAGCGATTGGGTAAAGTTTAAATTATATTAACAATCCAGAATTTGTTACATATTTTTAAATTAGAAACTATGACCACGTTATCAAGATTTCATAGAGTTTATTATTTTGTTTGTATGCGTTTTACCGACATCGGTTCAGATAGTAATCGACGCTTAATGGCACTCCGATTGTTTTTTTTTCTTCCGTGATCGCGAAAGTTACATATTAAAACGCAAATGCGCTAGTTATAACAAGGAGGGTAGTATACCCTACTACTTACTTTACTTTACTAATAACGGTATTTGTGATCATTTAAATTAGTAAAAAAAAGTCATTATTGCATACATTTATATCCATTTAGGAATAAGTACATAAAATACATATATTATGTCCCACTTCTGGGTAATAGGCTCCTCTAAATAGGGGAATTGGTATGAATAAATGGATTGAAACATAAATATCCGAACCATGTTATTAAAGATTAGAAAGGAGAGTATGTGCTCTACTCACGTTTAAGGGTTTTAAACGCGCATTAGAAATCTGTGGTCAGCTTTAGACCGTTCATGAGTCATGAGGCGGAATAATTTCGATATGTCACGGTTGACCACAATACAGTACGAGTCTATTGGTCCACTGTTGGACATCATGGTCTCTTTCTACATTAACTGCTGTAGTGACATTTTTGTTGCAATGGAAAGAGATTTACGGTCTTTTTCTGCTTTCATCCCACAAATCGTCGTTTGTGTAACTTTATTTATTTATTTATCAGTGCTTTACATGTCGCACTTCATATGGAAGAATGGTATAAGTGGAATTACGTCAAACATGTTTATTGCTCCATTAAATACAGAAAAATATAACCTTCATTCTCTCCAATTGGAGGTTAGATATAGAAAAATATTACATATAAAACATTTTTCTATATCTAATGGAGCAATAAACGTGTTTCACGTAATTCTACTTATGCCATTCTTCCATGAAGGGTGCGATGTGTTGTCGTTACCAAAAGGTACTTATGAGTATATTTATACACTAACAGACACATGCACCTTGACAGGCATCGCAACATGGAAGGGGCAGATGTTAATTGTAATATATCCTGGAAATACTCGTGTACATCGTAATAACTTTGACCAATTAAAGATTTTTTTTCAATGCAAATATAAATTTATTTATGTTTGGTTCTGTTTTTAAATACACTGGAAGTTTATTATATTATTTTTATTGCCATAGGATTTTTATAAACGAGTAGACCGTGTGACATTATTTTTGTTTCTGAGTAGGAGTAGTAGTAGTAGTAGTAGTAGTAGTAGTAGTAGTAGTATCAATATCATTTTCTTATTGGTTTTAACATAAAAAAACTTTATTTCCTTTAGCAACTGTTCGTTGTTCTGACTGAACTTTTCGTGGTCAAGACAACAAAAAGTTGAAATTTGCATATCAAGGAAAAAAATGTCAGGTTTCTCTTTATTTAAAGCAAAAAAAGGAATATCATATTTCAAATCACTAGTATTATACATATTTATACAAAAATAAGTGCGCATTTGACCTCCATCTTATCAGATGGAAAGTGACGATGAGGTCGACGACGTAGCATGCACACCTAAATAATGCCTATTCACTCTCGCCTTGAAAAGGTCCAGGTCAAAACTATAAATTGATGACAAAATGTGT